GTTGTACAGCGTTGGTGTGGGCTGTACCTACTCTTGATAACAAAACCAACCATTTCTTCTCTTAGTAGCTCTTCCTCAGAGAAGTTAGTACTAGACAAAGTGGCTGAAGTTTTCATTATACAGAATCCTATGGCATGTAGAAAAATGAGCCTGTCTTAGCTTTATCTTCAGTTATTTTGAAAGAAAGAGAAATCAATGGTGCCTTCAGAATCAGAATATTTCAGGGTTAAAAAGATAAAATGGGTGAAAGGTAAGATCGCAAATGAAAGTACACTTGGGAACGTAGAATTAAGGTGCTATCATCACAGATAAATGTGGGAGAAATCCAAATAATGCATTTTATGAGATTAAATAAAAAGACCCTTGATATAAGAATTAAAGGGATCCAGACAGATGTAGATTAAATAAAGCAGACATTTGAAAACTTTTCTCTATGAGCATTTTCTTCTCTTATTCAAACTTGGTAGTACCAATATTTACCTATAGAATCACATTTAAGTCTGTTCTTCTCACACTGTTTTTGAGCACACTGTTTAGTCTATCACTTCAAAGAGACTAGACATTTAGGAAAATACAACCTTATAAGTCACTTAGTATCACTTAACAAAAGAACAAATGCACTAAGTAGTAAGACATTGTCATTGCTGTTGTTTTTCGATAAGAATTATTTTTATAATGTAATAAATAAATCACTCACTTACAAGAAATATCTCACAGCAAATCACAATCAGTTTTTAAAAACCATTTGGATCTGATCTGTCAAATTAAGCAAAAATAATTTTAGGTAAATGTTTGTAATTATGGTTATATTAAAGCCATTCATCTGTTGCTGAATTCTGATAGTGTCTCTCATACCTATTATACACTGAACATAAATCTTTTGAAGAAGCAAATGAATTGTCAGAAAATAGAAAATGAGTTGGGAGGGTAGGGAGATGGGGAGGAACAAAAGTTGGGGAAGGAAAAGAATATGATTTTATTATATTCTTATTGGATGAAAAATATTTAAAAACAATGGAATCTTGAAATTTGCAGGCAAATGAATGGCACTAGCAGAAAACATCCTGAGGTAATCCAGTCACAAAAAGACAAAAACGGTTTGTACTCATTCATATATGGATTTTAGGTATGAAGCAGGGGAATGCCAGCCTACAATCCCACTGCCAAAAAGTCTGGGAAACAGGCAGGACCCTAAGAGAGATATACATGGTACCCTAGAGAAGGGGAATGGGACAAGATCTCCTGAGTGGATTGGGAGCATGGGGGAGGGGAGAAGGAGAAGGGGAAAAGTAGAGGGGAGGAGAGGAATTCATGGGGGAGCAGGAAGGTTGAGTCGGGGAAAAAATAAAGAAGAGCAGGATAAGAGATACCTCATTATAGGTTTGAGGAGACATCTGGCATACTAAGGAATAGTGGAGAGGCTACCTTGAATGCCCTTCCCAGTTAATGAGATTGATGACTATCATATCCTAGAGCCTTCATCCAGTGACTGATGGAAGCAGAGGCAGACACCCACAGCTAAACACTTAACTGAACTCCTGGAAACCAGTTGCAGAGAGGGAGGAGTGATGAGCAAAGGGGTCAAGACCAGGCTAGTGAAACCCACAGAAACAGCTGACCTGAATAAGGGAGAGCTCATGGACCCCAGACTGATGCCTGAGAGGCCAGCATGGGACTGATCCAGACCCCATGAACATGGGTGTCAGTGAGGAGGCCTAGGAATTCTATGGGGCCTTGGGTAGTAGATCAGTAATTATCCCCGCATACAAATGGACTTTGGGAGCCCTTTCCACATGGAGGGTTGCTCTCTCAGCCTCCCTCCACATGGGAGAGGGCCTAGGCCCTGCACTGGATGATATGACAGACTTTGGAGATAACCTATGAAGGGCCTCACCTTTCCTAGAGAGTGGAGTGGGGGTTAAGGGGGTCTGGGGGGACTGGTAGGGAGCAGGGGAGGAGGGAAGGGAGAGGGAGCTGGGATTGACATGTGAAGCAAGCTTGTTTCTAATTTAAATAAAAACAAAAACAAAAAAGTATAAAAGCACAAAAAGTGAGTGAATGTTTTTCTTTTACTTGTTGGTAGACGCTGACATATAAGTTTTGTTCCCAGTGAGAAAATAACTGTGCAGTTCAGCATGCAAGCTGACCTTGAATTGGAAGCCCATGTTTCAGTTCTGAGTAAAGAGAGTGATTCTGTGTAATCCACAACTGCCTGGGGTAACAAATAAACGTAAATTTCCATACTAAATATTGCAAGCTGATGGGGTTTCTTATCTAGCTTCCAGTTTCTAGCGTCTGTACCGACTTGATTTTGGTTAATAGCTTATACTCCTATTTCAGGGACACCCTATTTGCATCTTGATTCTTGGCTAGTGCAAGTGTAGCTGTGGTGTACATGAAAACTCTGTCAGAGAAGTACACTGCCCTCTTTCACTTGGCTTACAAAGACTATACTAACAAAATTCACATCAATTTTCAAATGCCAAATGGTGCCTGCGTATACAATAAATGTTAATAATAATAATCAAACCACTAACTAGAATGTCCTTTTTTGGATTCATTCCCTAGCAATTACCCTAACTATCCTGCCTTGTCACACTCTTGCCTTAGCCAGGCAGACACACCGAAATAGCCACTGCCTTTCCAAATCTGGAATGTCTATATCTCAAAACTTTGTGAATACTTTCTTTCCCTTTTGTATTGACCACATGATTTCCTAGACACTAGATATAGCACATATACATCGGACACATGGCCACATATGTGTTGTTGTTTTATTAAAGCACTTAGTCTTGATTTGCATTTTTTAATAATTTTCTATACAGGCAGAGTAGGAATAGTTCTTTCCTATTTTACAAGGAAATAGTGAGGAAGCTCAGAAAATCAGTCTGTTGCACCGTGGAGCCCTTGGGGGAAGCCTGAAGTGCATTGAGAGGTTCTTGAGTGATTTCAAGATGACATCTTTTAACATTTCCAAATGAATAATGCATGAATCTTAATACACTAGCGTTTTTAGGCAGCAGAAAGAAGTAAAATGAGCACTAGATGAGCTGCCGAGAGACCTAGAATTTGGTCTTTTTTCTGTCAAAGTAAAGAAGTACTTGGCCTAGTCACTTCAGTCCTTTGAGCGTCAGTTTTTCCTATTGTAAAATGTAAGCAATTTCCCTTCTCAAAAACACAAAGAAGCGCCACTCGTTCCCACAAATGGCCAATGGAACATTCCCATGAATTTTTTATTTTCTTCCTAGGAGGCTAATTTTTGAGAGACCAGCCTTAAAAGGAAATTTATTTTAATAGGCAAGGGAAATGGAACTGCCTGTACTCCATTTCTCAGGACTGCATAGCAATCATAGAAAGGAGTTAAATTCTATTTCTGCTTTTAAGTAATGTGATTGATATGAAAGGAGACAGTACTATATCAAAAGAAGAGAAAAGACATATTCTTTTCCCCGTGTATTTCAGATACTTAGCAGAAAGAGCACTAAATCCATTCATCCCTAAAAGTCTCCTAGTAAAATTTGGTGAACATTTTGAAACATGTGATGCCCTATTTTATGCTTCCTGGAGTTTTTTTCTGCTTTTACACTACCATATTACACGGTCCCCACCAGAGTGGATACATTAGATACATTCATCATAATAAGATTACTGCAAACATACAGGCAGAAAGGGCAAAGTCATGTATTCCCAAGAACAAAACAAATTTTCTATAATCAATACAGACTTCTTGAAGGTTGGTTTTTATATAATGTAAATATTTGGCAATGTGGATAGCATATTGTTTGCTTAGGCTACAAGATCCTATAAGATTAATATATTTCTTGTACATTAAGTATTACAGCAGCTGAAGGAACAAAATACTCTTTGCTGACTGACCCAAGCTCTTTGAAGTAGTCATTTCTGCTTGTTCAATACACTAATAACTTTCCTTCCACGAGAAATTAACACAGTATAAAAGCAAATCCAAGGACATGGCTTTTGACAGCAAAGCAAGAGGACACTTACTTGAGATCTAAACCTTGGTCATGGTCCACATTCCTCTTCATTCCTGCCCTTGCCTCACATAGAAGTCCACCTTTTTCTTTCTTTTAATCTCTAAGCACTGCTGCTAGGAGTTATGTGGCAGTGATAGCTTTGTATTTGCTTAAAGTTGAGGCGTCATTCTTAATATTTCCAAACAAGCAAAAAGGACACAAAGCTTAAAACAACCCCCTTACATTTTGCAGAAAACAAGTTAATTATAGTGATCAGAGATGTAAATTAAACCCCAAATCATAATATGTATTGTTTTTTATTGTACTGATTGCTTGTGCTGATAAACATAGCTTATCTAAGAGAATCAGAAAACCTGTGCCTGTTTGTCTTATTTTCCTCCTTGCACATTTAAGTATGCATGCTTTCTCTTCCAGACTGCCTTTTTGATAGTAGAATCTCTCTACAGTTACTATTAACTACAATTAACTATTATAATAAAAACATGCAACTCATACAGACAGTAAAATGAATCCATACTTGTTAAAGACTTGAAATACTGAACTTCTCATTTTCTAAAGCATTTTGAAAGGGACAATGAGCTAACTATTTTAATCATTCAACAATTTAAGAAACATCAGAATATTTTAGCAGAGTATAAATATAAATCACCCAGTAACCTTCCTTAATGCAAGCTAGGCTAAATTACAAATATTCAGTGTACTATTTTGTCTGATATCAGTTGAGCTAAATACATTGTTATAAAAAGAAACATTCCAATTCCAACTTACATTTTGCCAAGTTCAAGGTAATATTCTTCCTCCCACCTGAAGCAGACAACTTTATGATTATTTTTGCTTGTGCAAACTCCAAGGAAATGACCTCTGTGTTTGGTTCAAGTTCATTGAATTTGTAACCATTTTGATCTGATAGATTAGCTAGAAACTGATGCCAACAATCCAATTCTAGATACCAAGTGTGAAAGGTGCATGTGAGAACTAATTATGAATTAACAATTTTGAGCCTACCGTTTCAGTTTCTTTCTCTTTTCTTCAGAAGTCTCCAAAGAATTCATGTGACAGCCACTCCAAAAGGATGCTACTGATCTGTGCATCGATACAGCTCCTTTTTCTGAAAACAACCAGTTCAATCCTCATTAACTTCCCTCAAAAAGTAATAAAGGAGAGACATGGGGGGAAAGGGGCAAAGAAAGAGACAGACAGAAAGGAGAGAGTGGGAGACACAGAGAAAGCAAGAGGAGAAAGACAGAGGGAGAGACAGAGAGAGAGAGAGTGAGAGAGAGGAGTGCCAAAAGAAAAATGATGAAGGCTAAAGGAAAAAAGGCAGGTAAAAATTTTAGGATTGCCAAACCACTACCATGTTGAAAAATAAGGTAGTGAGTTGTCAGAGTGAGCTATGTAAGCTGTTCTTATCACACTGAACATTTCCGTTTTCCAGTGGGTGAGCAGCTCTCTCTCTCTCTCTCTTTCTCTTTCTCTTTCTCTCTCTCTCTCTCTCTCTCTCTCTCTCTCTCTCTCTCTCATTACTGATGCAAGGCTGCGCAACAGGCTGTACATAATGCCTGCAAAGCTTCACATTTAGCAAAAGAAACGCTCCATTCTATTTATAGGGCCATAGTGCATTGTCTTCCAGTTTCGTGGTTGCTCTGTGTTTTGAGTCTGTGATAACACAGAAACTGTTTATTGTGTCATTTGCAGAATCTGGGTGTCCTCTGGCCCCTACCATAGATACCAGACCACAGCAATCTTCAGTATGATCCTTTCTCAAATCTTTGCATTTGTGTTCAGTACCTAAATGGACATTTCTTTAAATATACAGTAGGTTCCTATAGTAAAGTCAGTGAAAGAATGGTCTCTGATTAAGGCAACCATGAATATACAAGCCTGTGACATATTGACACTGAAATGAATACTCTATTCCTCATAGGTGTTTAAAACCTTACACTTTTTATTCACTCACTCTCTGTTTTCCTCAGTGTCCCTGTGATCAAGAAGTGCAAGTAGGCCTCCATTTCCTCCTAGTGGCTAGAGAACTTTTGCTCAAATGGGGCTTATTTTCTATAAAATATGCCCATATCCTAAGGCTCTTGAGGATGATGTTCCAAGGAATCACTGAACCCAGGTATCTCTGAGCCCAGTGTGACACTATACGAAGCACCAAACATGTTCTTCACCAGACACGGGAAGATGAACAGGAGGAAACATGCAAACCTTGAATAATAACTTCAGATCAGAACCTAGGAACTTTTCAGATAAGACATGGAAGAGATGGATGTTAGTACAAGTCCAGCCTCAGGCTAGGACATACCCTGGATGGGATGTTTGAAGACCCTCTGCCTCAAAGTACTCTTTTATTGTGTTTGAGAGACTAGTTAGGCTTCTAGAAGAAAATGTTTCTGAAATCTTGATTTTAAAATTCTAATGCTCAAAAAATGTACTTACTAAAAAATCTTTGTGGGGAATATTGATCAAAACTAGAAAGACATTTACAGAAGGGATAAGATATAAGGTAAACCTGGAGACAGGCCAATGGGAAAATTGATCTGTCCAAGACTAGTTAAAATGCCAATGGTCGCAAGTGCCAAAAATATCGGGTTAATTAAAGTAATCCAAATATGCATTAAATAAGATATGGGTACAAAAGACTGAAATATATTATCCCTGCTTTGCCTTTTTTTTATTCTGTACTCTGGGACCTGGAATACCATAAGTATAATGTTTTTCGTTGTTGTTGGTTTTTCGAGACAGGGTTTCTCTGTGACTTTGGAGGCTGTCCTGGAACTAGCTTTTGTAGACCATGCTGGTCTCGAACTCACAGAGATCCGCCTGCCTCTACCTCCCAGGACACTGTTTTTCTTGTGTATTTAAAGTATACTTTCCACAGACATCTAGTGTGGTGATCTCAACTCTCACGTAGGCTTACTTCTATTCTAGCTTTACTGAGTGCCTGTTATGTGTAAAGCAATAGTTCAAAGAGAGCCGGGGTGGACAAAACGTGGAAAAAAAGATAAGAAAGGGTACCAGCTCCTGCAGCTTTCTGCAATCTAGTAAAACAGAAAAGCTTATTTTCCAATTTTCTCAAATTGAAAACAACATACATGTGATAAATACCTGAGAATGTCATATCTAGTTCTTTAAAATACTGGAGGAATTCAGGTATCCAGAAGGGCTACTCTAAGGCATTTCAGTATGGAAGCTGGACAATCTTCCAGTAGGAGTAGGGTTTGGGTGGGGCTTTTAAGAATGGCAGGGCATGGTGGTACATGCCTCTTATCTCAGTTCTTGGCAGGTTAGGGTGGAGGATCAACGCTAGTTTGAGGTTAAACTGGGCCTGTACTAGAGATGAAACTGTTTCTGAAAAAAATGCAAAATTTTGTCAAAATTCCTAGTTCTTGCTCCTTTGGAGTGAAGTCTCTCGATACCATTTCCTCCAAATAAGTTTTGAACACAGGGCTATCTGTTACCTTATGTGGAGCATGGCTGTTGAGTTTTCAGTCTGTAGGTTGGTTAGAACATGCAGAAGCTAATGTTCATGTATTTTGAAATAAAATACCACGTGTGTCTTAGATCAAATTTATCATTTCTATTGAACTCAAGGAATTTAGTCTGACGCAGTACAGAGTATGATAAACATAGTTTTCTAAACATTTTTATAACACCAAGACAATAATTTAAATACCAGGAATTCTTCCACTCAACAATTTTTAGTATTTTAAAACTGTGATTTAATTATGACTAACATTTGTTTAGCACTTTGAAGTCTGCAAAGGATGTTATGCTTTCTTATACTAGGGCAAGAAACTAATACATTCTCATCATCAACTAAACATCAAAGTGCTGTAATGAACTCACTAAACACATTTAAAATATTTAAATTATTTTGTGTGAGAGGTTACTACCATTTAACTAAATAATTCCTTGTTTAAGTAAAATACTGTTTTTCATCTGGACTAGAAGGTATTTATTTAGTAGCCTAAGTGCCAGGCACCATAATGTGTTATAAGAATCTTATTTTATACATGAAAATAGCCTATGTCTTAAGTAGTATTTTGTTTCTACATTATGATTTTCAAAAGTGCTAAGAAATGATAAGTAATTTCCCCAAACTACTACTCTGAGATCACTGAACATTAATTTGTAGTTTTGATCTGAAGGAGAGTTAAAGCCAGACTATCACTACAAATCTTGCAACTGCAGGGCGATGTATTAGGTAGTTGATTCTATTAATTGCTATAAATAAGTAGATGGTAAGAACTAAGACATTCTGATTCACAAGATTCACAGACTTCAGAGAGAAATCTCCAGAGCCTGGGGTTTATACATTTATGGGGACATTGGTGGATTATGGGTAGGTTTCCACATTCATGGAACTCCTACATGGCCCCAAAGGCACCTCAAAATAACTCTTATATCAGTTTCAAGAAATTGCAGAGCAAACCACATCTTTAACTCTTTCCTTGAAATAGATTTCAATCTTGATGGATGCATGTTTTAGTTTTTTTGGCAGCATGTCTCTGAAATGATTATTAAAGAGTGTAGGAAAACAAATCTCAACTCATAGCATTTTTCTAAATCCAGAAAGTGAGGTAGAATATATAGAAAGTTGTTTCTGTCCCAGACAAATGGGCCAGTGGCCAAATCCAAAATTGCCACATCCAGCAGGACTCCAGAGACAGACCTGACTGGGTCAGTGGAAGAATGAAGAAAAGATGCACAGAAAAGCTAGGACAGGGTGGTCTGGGCTCTCAGATGGGAAAATCTGCAGCACCCTGTAAGCTCAGTGTAGTCGTTATCATATACAATTGAAGAGCGAGGTGGGGTCCTTGTAGACAGTGGAACAAAGAGGCAGGACTTTTGGTATACTCCTGAACAAGGAGAGGAGTTTAACTAATCTGAATAAAGCAGTCTCTGTAGAGGAGTAGTCTCAGAACATAAACATCAAAGGGCAGAAAGCTACAGTGTACATTTTTCTGCACACACTATCAACATTATCACTTGGACCAGGCTTTATCATTTCTCTGAGCCTAACCTGGAGAAGGTTTTGCCACTTTCCATGTGTCTAAGGCATTAGATTCCTCGATATAGCCTGCCCATGTCACTCAGGAATTCACTTAATCTCCACACAAAATGCTTGCTTATTCCAGTTTATTCCCATTGACAAAACCAGTGAAATCATGTCTAACTGGTTAACTGAATTTTTATTCTTAATTCATGAAATAAAGGGGAAGACAAATGGCCTGAAACAGTGTCTAAAACAAGAAATAATGATACAAGGAATACTTGGGGCATAAGACAATTGATAGTTATAAAAATGTCTAGAAGTGCTTACACTAAAATAACCACCATTTTCATACAAATGAACATCAGATTTCCAAATAATAAATAGTTATCAAGGGACTATTTAAGGGGGGTGTTGTGTTTGGATCTTATCTTCAAGCCAAAATCATGGACAACAGAAGTTAGTGAGAATTTTCAATGTCTTATACTTTTGTTGATAGAGAATTCAGCTAAAAGCCCACAAAAGTCACGTTGTACAACCCATATTCATGTGTGTGCATGTGAAAAACACCATGTAAAGAAACACCACTATCTACAGACATAAGGTCACTTACTTCACATAACACAATACTCAGACTGAGTCAACTTGCAAAGCTGCTTCCAGTATGAAAAAGCATCATTTCAAGTATGTTTTTTCCCTTTGACTTTTCTCTGTGTCCCTTTTGTACAGGAAATTCTGAAGGGAAAATGCATAACTTCAGATTCCTGTCTCAGTGTATGTTTATCAGGCAAATCTACACTGTAAGTTTCATGAAACAAAGGATGGAGAAGAATAGGAAGGAATGCAGGGAAGTATTTGCCACAAAATTGTGCTCTGGGACAGCTGTGCTGGAGTGCTGGAAGTGAAGGGATTTGTAGGCATCTTTTTTGCTCTGAACTTTCACTATTGGGCTATGAATGAACTTCAGAAGGCTCCCCGAATCCATGAAATTATTGAGAAATTTTTCTTATATATTCATATATCCATTTTTCCCTTGGGAAAAGTTTCAAAATTTCCATTAGATTCCCAAAAAGATTCAGTACAACAACAACAACTACAACGAAGTTTAAAACAGCTACTGGATTCCTAAGCACCACCCCTTTAGGTGGCCTGCTAACGGGAAGTGAGATGTGACAGGAAGGGCCCAGCATCGAAGATTTTCAGATAGTAATCCACCAAATGATTACAAATGGTACATCTGCGTGACTTCCTCATTTTACAGGTGATGAAAGTGCCAGGCAGTTGCAACCCTTGTCAAGTAGAGCATAGTTAGAGTGAGCTCGGAGGAAATTATTTTGAGTGGTGATCTTTCTTGTCCCTTATTTTCATTTGTGTTTCCTTTATTGTCAGTAGAAAAGTGTGTGTTCATGGTGTTGCTAATAGTTTCAGATCTTGGCTAGTGCAGGGGAGGGGAAGGGATCAAAATGGAAAGAAA